ACCTTATTTTAGGTGACTGTCTTCTTTCCATCTAAATTACATCTCTTGAAAAGAGTAACTTTATCTTATTCATCATTGAATTCTCCACTGCTCTGACAAGGCATCTTGCTCCCTTCTTTATATACTCTGTATATGTATAACTGCTAATTTACTGTATTAAAGGTGCATTATTTTTCATAATGTTGAGTTTTATTACCTTTGTAATATTTCTTATCTAACCTACTTTGTTATAGTCTTATTTGCTCATATTGTTTTATTTTGATATATTTTCCCATTCGATGGCATAAAACTTAGAAAGATGATTCTCAATGGCTATGTGTTTTTATTTATTCATATATAGCTTTGTAGCACAAAAATATTTCACATCTGTGTACTTTATATCTCCGATCACACAACATATATCTTGAGTGTTAAAAACATGTGTTCTACTTTTTATCATTTCCCCAAACTATAATCCCTCATTTCTACCAAAGTACTTGAAGCTATGCTATACACATTACAGAAGGACTAAGAGAATCATTGTTCTTCTACTGCTGTAACACACACAAGCTAGCAATTGGTATATTGAAATTTTTAAAAAGTAAAAAAAAAAAAAAAGCCCAATAATGATATGTGCTATATACACAAAGATATGTGCAAGTTGCACACTACTATAAATTCTCAGAATAAAATAAAAAATATGATTTTAAGTATCAAAAACCATATAATACCATTATAGAAAAACACTTGCATTGTGAAAATTCACTATTTACAGGTATCCTGGAGATAATCCTTTTTAAAGCAATCCTTTGGAATAAGTGATTTGTATATCTTATAAATCCAAATTTTCATATACTAGATTTTCTCAAAGAAAAGTACATGAAAAAAGAAGAAAATCATTATTTACTATTATACACTATGATGAAAACAGCTTTTTTCTTAATCTCCAAGCTTTAAAAAATAGTTCCATTCCTAAATCAATATTTTTTACATAAACCTATGTCCTTGAAATACCCACGGTTTTCAGTAACCTGAGTTACTTGGGAATTTTTAGTTAGGAAGATACCTGGACAAAAGTGACTGTTTTACCTCTTTAGCTTCATTTTAACCTTCCGATATTCATACCCTAGAGGTTCCAGATTCTTATCCACAAAGTGATTATGGTTTAGGACTGAATCAGATTTGTAACAAATGTCCACTGGGATCCTTTGACCTATCATCGACGGGCAGAACCGATACGTCTTCTAGCTCACTAAATCCTTTCCCCTGACCTCAGGGACTTTCCACAATGTTACATGGTTAGAAGCTTTCTTTCACAAATGATAAAAATAAATAAATAAATGGTTTCAAAATAGAAAAATGAAAACCCAAGTCATTACATAGCATCGAAAGGCTACTTGCATCTACCACCTTATGCCCAAACAAACGTTCTCATGTATATGGTATGGAATATCCTTCTTTAAGGTTTTGAGTTTCATTGTCTCTAATTTTATCTGATTACTGACATGCCCCATTTATATTAACACTTCAATATATCTAGACACACAATGGCGTAAAATTTCTGACAGTGATCTATAATTGTCTAGAACTCTTTATGATTTGTCTTAAATTTTCCAGAAAAAAATAAAGCACAAATCTAATAAAATGAAATCTCTGACTTTGTAATAAATATTACCATATCGAAATAAAACTAACAGCAAACATTGATAAATAAAATACATGCCTTACTCTTTTTCTTAAAAGGTAATTTAGCATGTCATTTTCTCCTTTTTTGCTTCTGGTCTTAAAATCCATTTCTCCTCAAAAAAAGAAAATAAAAAGCATATCCAAAGAAAGAGAAGAAAAAATTACAAAGTACAATATTTTTTAAGCTACAAACTGTACAAAAATCTGTCACCATCTATGTTACAATTCTAGTCATCAATAAGGTACTTTTTTTCAATGCACTACTCAAAAATCAATTATATCAACTCTTTTGTATAGAGAAGCAGCACACCTTTCAGACAACTGGTATTAATGAGTAGACATGACTATAGAATCTCCATCTGTTTCTCTGACAAAGCTGTGGCTACTCTAGTCTCTCATTGAAATTCCATTAATCTGGTGTACCAAGGTCCAATGTGAAAATCAAAACTCCATCTAACCCTTTATCAGCTCACAATAACCTACAAGTGAACTCTGCCTGTTAGCATGCAGCAAGTTATGATTTTGCTATCAATCAGGCAGTTGGCCAATGGGGGGAAAAAAAAAGCAGGCTGGAAACAGCATGTCTGGCAGGGCTGGGAGACTTTGTTTTTGTTTTCTGTTTTTATCCTCTTTCAATTTCTATAGGGTGTCTGGACCTTGTGAGATTATGCGTTATTCTCCTTGGCTGTGATTTAATTGCTATCAGCAATCAAGTCGAAGCATCACTGAAGTGTGCTTGAATTTCATTAGAAGATATAACTTATGCTACTTTCCTACGGTACCTAATAAACCATAAAGAAACCAAAACACATATGGCTTGAGGGAATAACTGGAAAATTAGGTAGCCATTTGGGAACTGAGTGAACTTTTGAACCAGAGGAACAGAGAAAAAGAAATATTAAAGGAAAAGACAGACTTAGAATGCACACAGAGATGTGCAGGTTTGACCTTTTCAGTACCTTGAAATTACATTAGCATTATGAAAAATACATATCATATTTAGAGTTTATAATCCATCAAAGTTCAGATACTTTGTTAGTGCCTACCATAAGGTAAAAGTCAAAAGGACAAAACAACAATCTGATTTGACAAAAGGCCTTTGGGTGACCTGTGCTAATTTAGTTATACTTATTGTTAAATGCATTATCTTTTTATAATTAATATGTCATTAGGCTGAAGTCACATAATGAAGGAAAATTTATTCAGCAAGGGAAAGAACAGATACAAAATCTAAGCTGCAGGAAGGAAAACTGATATGACTAGATGATATTTTAGAGTAGGAATTAAAAGTCCAAGTCTTAAAATTAATTTATAATATTCTTAGAAAATATAAAACTATCAATAATGATAATACTTATATACCAAAAATGGATAATAAAAGTTAAATTTTCAATCCACTTAAGAATTGCTTATGTGAACACTAATGGAAATGCACCAATATATAACAAAAAATAAATTTTAAACATATTATTAAATAATACCAAAATATTGATAAATTAACCTTTTAACAATAAATCTTTTTCATGTTATTAATGTATTTCCTGTCTATTTGGTTATGAAAATAAACATATAAATTATTTATTCATAAAAAAGAAAATATAATAATCATGTAAATGCCTGATAATGTAATAACAATTCATGTTCTCTAACAAAGCACCGGCTCTCATAGATTTTAATTGCTGGACTTCTTAAGTTGCAATTTTTTTTAAGAATGCATATAATGTTCACTTGTACATCAAAATATTTATGCTATTTTTAGAAACCTCGAGTATATATTCTATTTCCTTCATTATGTGACTTCAGCCTAATGACATATTAATTATAAAAAGATAATGCATTTAACAATAAGTATAACTATGCATTTAACAATAAGTATTCCATGTGTGTGTATATGTATATTTATATGCTGCTGAATATAAACATTCTGCCTCTGTATATGTATACAGACACACATACTAATTTCCATCTACCAACATTTTAAAGAGAAGCAAAACACATCATTGTAATGTGTCTGCAAAATAGTTCCTCAAGTAATAATTCGCTGTTTGCCTGAAAATATTAATTCATAGTTTATAAAACACTTTCGAGTGGAAATGCTTTTGAAGATCAGGTTAGAAAGGGTAATGCTCTCTTCTGCATAGTAGGTGTGACTGAAGAATGCGCATCTTTTTTAAAAAATAGATAGGAAGTAGAAGAGAAAGAAATTCTTTCCTTTAAAAACAGGAATTAAATGTTTGCCAAAATGTAAAATTCAACATAAAATGGATATGATTATTATTGCTACACATTGTACAAAGTTCTGAATATAAAGAAAAGATTGTGTTGTTCTGAATCAGTGGTTAGGATGTTTATCACTTATGCATGGCCTTGACTTATCCCTGTTCTGCAATAGACATAATTTTATACCTCATAAAAGCAATTTATGTTTCCAAAGGGAATAATCTGGATAACATAAAATGTGGAGTGCTCTGTTGCAGGAAGCATATTTTCATTCGGCAGTTGTATTTAGAGATGGAACTGCACAGTTTGATCATCATATAGTGGCAGAAGGCATCATTCATTTCTATGTCTATGTGAAACTTTGAGTGCCACAAATTAATATGCATGGCTAATTTATCGATACACATTCTTAGTTTATAACTACATATCATCCTTACAAGGGCTCTATAATGCAGATGCACTCAACTGCCTATAACAGAGAAAGTACACAGTACACTAAAAACAAGTTTCATAACTTTGGCAAGTTTTTAAAAATTACTGAGATAAACAATCAACTTTACTGCTAACTCAATTAATACAAAGCACTATAATACAACTACATAATGTGGGCCATTTTTAGGTGACAATCAGAAAAATGAAAATGTGTATTAAAAGAAGCATTTGATGAAAACCTGTCTCAATGTGAGAAACAATGTAGGAATAATTGATTTAATATTTTATGAATTCATTATATATGAAGTTTGCAGGAAAAAAGATCAAAACCCTTTTCATTATTTATAAAATAAATAATACAACAAGCCATTAGCAGCATAATAAAATTAAGCAAGAATCTGATAATATTAAATTAACCAACAAACTTACCAATAATATTCATACAGTGATGCGAGCACTCTTCTAAAAATTCTAGTAAAAAATATTTCCCAGGAAAAGGAAGAACTACATACTTAGGAAAACCACTAGAGAGAGCTCTTCTGTTCCTTAAAAGGTTCTGGTAAAGATAAGTTAACTGAAGCCTCTGCATTTATCTGCTTTCTGACAAGGCCACCACCTCTGCATACTGCATTGTTTTGTGTTAGAGTGTCAAGAGGTATATTCTATGGGAAGATATCACATACCATCAGAGGGGGCTTCATCATCTTTATCATATCTTTCAGAGGCTAAAGAAATAGTGTCTGGAGGCCCAGCAAAAGGGTCATCATATTCTTCCCCATCTTCTGTATCACCTATAAAAGAATCAGAAAAAAGCCTTTCATAATTTAGTCATCTTAAAAAAGTTACTTTTTCCAGAAGAGGTAAATTTTCCTAACAAACTTAGTCCTATTTTAATGTATATCCGCTATAATTTAGATAAAGTTTTTGAAGGTCAGTATGTGCCTGCTTATTTCTGGTACAAAAGAGTACAAATTCTAAAATTATGATGGTCTCTACAAAGATAAATACGAAAAAAGTAAAAGCAAGGTAAAACAGTGTATATCCAAAACAAGCAAACAGAACCAAATGACAAAAAAAAAAACAAAAAAAAAAACCCCACCATGGGAAGCACAACTGAGAAAATAATTCAATTTACCTAGTCAGTGTTTAAAAAATTATGATGAGAAATGGATCATTCAAAGTCATATGAACATGTTTTCATTAAAAATCACAGGATAATATTTGAGTAGATTAAAAATGGTAACATACTACTAAATGAAAATTGAAGGTGTCTAGTTTGTAAATAACCTTGTTTGAATTTAAAAGGTTTATATGAGTTATAAAGCAGCTTTTCCCATATACGTTTCCTGTTCTTGAAATGAAATTGAGTATTTTTAATCTATTGTAAAATGCTCTAGCCAGTTTTAATGTCCTAGCCAGTTTTCTACATGATTTACAAATCCTAGGATGGATGGATGGATGGATGGATGGATGGATGGATGGATGGATGGATGGTTGGTTTGAAGTCATTTAATCCCCACAGTTAAATCTTGTGGTTTGGGTTTTTCTCACATACTCATTTAGAATAATTTTCTTTTTGAGAAAAGAGTGAATTAGATATTTGCTAGCTGAGTTATAAATAAACACTCATTTTTCACCTATATTCAACAACAAAGAAAAATATATACTTAATACTAGATCAATTATCTGTTTACAATTCTAGTTACCTGCTAACAATTCAAGAGAAAACCAGCCACCTTAGGGATTACCCAAAAAACATGGCGAAAACCTCCACGGGAACCCTAGAGTACCTACAGTGTTACTTTTAGATCATAGTTGCTGAGTAGATCCAAATTAAAGCTCCTAGTCTCTTCAAAATGATATCTGTATCCTCTGACACCCATTAGATGGGTAGCACCCTACTTTTCACCATGTTTTTGGTAGAAGAAATAGCCTCTTTCAAGACAACATTATCAAAGTAATAAAAAATCAATATTCATCTCTATTTCCTTATAACTGTAATAGTTCATCAGCATTTGTCATCCTTATCCTGAAAGGAAAGATGGGAATATCTCCCATCAAACAATAAGAGCAGAAGAGATGACTATCTTATTGTCCTTAGAGATCCAACTAGTAGGTGCACCCATACATGATGATGTATCTTCCCCAATTAAAATTCCAAGGAACACATACGAATACTACTCATTCTTCAGATCTTAATTTCTCTTTCTTATGAGATATTCAAAGGATTTTTTCAGAACATTCAACGATCCCTTACAATTTTGCTTTTATGGAAAGAACAATGCTCTAACTTAAAACATGAGATAAGAGAGAACCTCAAAAAATGCTAGTAAAAATACATTTCGACATGGAATGATGGCTCATTGAATATGTAGTAGTAAAGACCACAAAATTCTCAGTTGCTCTTAGTTGTAAGAGTATTCTTATATCCTTAATAAAGTTTTTATAAAGTGGATTTTCTAAGGATATTTCATATCATGAGGTATAAAATAAATCTTGCTGTAAAAAAAAGTATTAGGATACTTCAAATACATCATCAGAACCTAGCACTTAGCATATTACACTATTATGAATATAAAAATACAACAATAAAACCAATGAATATATAAAAAGAATTTTGAAAAATATTCAGATGCTCAGGCTTAAATCAATTAAACTCTATGTGGAAATAAGCAGAAAAAATTAAAACTTAAAAAGTTTTGAAAATCAGAATTAGTTTTTTATCCTTTGACAATATCCACTATGTATTTTATATGTATGTCCATGTATATACACACACATGCACACACCAATCTATATTTACATAGCAAAAAATCAATTGAAGTTATAAATTCAATAATACTTAGTATGAATTAAAAATATTCTATACGAATTGGTCACCCACATGCTAAAAACCTCTGTGGTTTTTGTTTTTTCAAAAAAAAAAAAATGTTTGGATTTATCTTCAACTTACCCATTCTAAGAACTGCAGCTCATTTCAAATATTTTTTTTTTAATTAGTGTGGTATTTATATTTATCTAAGACAAAAGAAATTAAGTACTGCTACTAGACTCAATTCTTCCTTTTTTTTTTTTTTTAAGATTTCCTTGAATTAACTCAGAAAGTAAAGACAAATCTCTGTGGAATTTCACAGGGTTATTCCCTTTTTAACCCACATTAAGTTGAAGGGACACATCATTTTTCAAAATGGTCTTCTTCGTTTTACTGTTGTTCCAGTGATGATCCATCCTTTCCCTCCCTCTCTAATTATTTTTTTCAACCCAATAAAGAGCTGCTGTATTATAAGGAGCTTTAATTAAACACAGGGGTCGCTGTTGAGTAGGGCAAAGCAATTTTTTTTTTTTTCTCCCCAGGGACTGAGTATTTGCAGCTATACCTACAAAGACTTCCGTAAATTAAAAGGAAAATGTTCAACTTGTGTTTATGTAATAGAAAACTGAACTCCAAAGCAACGATGGGCATCAGGTAAACGTATCCAATACAATTTACAGACATAATTGAAAGCATTACAGCCTAATCAGACATCTAAAAGAAAAGCACGCTCAAATGAAATGTCTACAGAATCATTAGTTGGCAGCCATTCTATTACAATCACACATAATGTCAGTGGTGCCTTGAGCCTGTGCCAATGACAACAGCATAAATTTTGCATCTCATTTCTGTGGTCATAAAATTAATGATCAGTTTAAAAATACTTCTTTGTTGAAGTTATTGCGCAAAGAAAAGACATGAATGTGTCCCTGTTATGTACTCAGAAGGATAATTATGGGGTTGTTGCTCATTAATACTGTTTCTTGTTTCCTTAGAAAAGCATTTGATTTATCCCACAACTTTCAAAAGTTTAATTAACGATACAAAGTTAACAGTCTAAAAGACAACGATCTAAGATTTCCCTTCCCATATTCAGTGGCAACTTAAATATCATAGCACAACCAAGACTTAATTGTACTACAGCAGCATATTTCTCTGAAAAACATTCTTAAATTTAAAATAGTTGGGTTTAAATCACTATTTTCCCTTCTATTTAATATGGCTCATCATCGATTAACATTTGCCTAAATGCCTGGAGTTGAAGCCCACCAGCAACTGAACCATCATGATCTCTACCACAATTGAAGTTGATTTAATCAATTTACTGTTTATTTTGTCAGAGTCCTGTTTTAAACACACTCAGGTAAACATTAAACTAAATGTTATACCTAAAATTTAGATGATAACCCTTCCCTTGTATAGAGCATGAAAGACAAACTTGAAAGGAAAAACTACTTGAATGAAAACAAATTAATTTCTAATTCTCTATTCTGTTTATGTGTCCAAACTAATTTCTCAAATAATAATACACAGTTAAATAGATAAGCATTTAACTTGTCATTTCTTCCCTTCTCTTTTTTACTTTTTCAATTAAAGTTGACATTCAATATTATTTTATATTAGTTTCAGGTATGCAGCATAGTGGTTAGACATTTATATAATTTACAAAGTGATCCCCCAGATAAGTCTAGTACCCATCTGGCACCATATATAGTTATTACAATATTATTGACTATATTTCCTATACTATACTATATGTCATTTCTTAAGGGACTCTGTAGTTTAATTCTAAAACTCTGAAAGGTTTAGCTCACCACAAATAAGAAGATTCTCTTCATAATTCTTCTACTGTAGGAGAGATAATTTATGGCATGCAAATACGAGGCAGAGTTTTAAAACAAAGATACCATTTCTCAAGCACTACCTCTGAAATATACTCGACTACTTCAGGCCCCATAATCTCAAATATGCTTAACACATTTTTACAAAGCCAGAGGTGGGGGTTGGGGGGAGCTGCAAGTTATCTGCTCAGATTTCTTTGGGGAACTAACTTTCAACAGAACATATACTATGTTAGGAAGGGTAAAGGAAAGGAAATTAAATGTCATGCAAACTTCTGACTTTTCTGCTGTTCTTAAGGATTCCATCAGAACAAACTAAAAGGGGCCCCTTCTTACCTAACAATTCTATTATTTTAAAAAGTAGTTTAGTCCATTAATAAAAACTTAATACAAATGAGGTCAAAGGAAATTGCTAAGTAAATCTATGCGTATTTAACAATATCAATGATGTCTCAAGGAAAAAATCTATTAAATATTTTTGATTAGAGAAAAATATTTTAAAGGAGAAAATGAGAGCTGTTTAGCTATGGCATCTAAAGGAAATTGAAAGTAATATATTCACATTTTTTAAAGCTATAGACACTAATATTTCACAAATTTGAAAAATATTCTCTTGAAATATTTCTCATGCTATATGTATGCCTTTCTTTTAACACTTCAAAATTTCTTCAAAAAAAATTTGAAAACTAAATTATCAGTCAAGATTTACTTAAATTCTCTTGCTAAATGAAGTTGAATCTAAGAAGACACATTAATATATTTATTGAACACCTGCTATGTGTCATGCATAGGTATCTTCGCATTATCTTAATCATTCTATATAGAAATTAATCACACCTAAATTATCACTGGAGTAAAACGATTAATAGAAGAGCAAGATACAACTATAAGTAAAGCTTTTTTAAATCATGTGCCTAACATTTATTAGAATATTCTATTTTCTATTCAGTTAATAAGTCTTTACTCAATTAGTAACATTTTCATTACAAAAATATTTCAAGTCACATTTAAGAGACCTATGACCTTGTTACATAACAGAGAACAAATTCTAAAATAATCATAATTCTATTCTAAAATAATTCTAAATGAGCATAATTCTAGTACATAAAGCTTATATTCAAGACTAGTCTATATTACGTGGCTAGACAGTATTCTAGGGTTAGATAGTTATTCTGTCAAGTACAATATTTGAAAGATTTAAGAAGGAATTCTTTATTCTAGATAGAATAAGCAATATTTCAAATGAATGACAGGGACTAGACTAAGCAAGATGAATCCTTGTTGCTGAGATCCAAATCTTTATGTATAAGCAAAATTAACGAATTTAGAAAACCAACTGATTATTTATTCTAAAGTAACAATTTGTCAGACCGCCTCAATGGTAAATCCCAGACTTGAGGATATAAAGAGATAAAATGAGGATCTTCATAAATTAAAGAAATGTAAAGGGAAATATTAAGACCTCATATTGCCATGTAAATGGATGTAAATATAGCGAGATGAAAATTAACTTAATGGACAAGCTTCAATACCTAGGACCCACTGTAATAAAATAAGTTTCTACCAATACAAACTATTCTCATCCACCCCCCCCCAAAAAATAGAAATTTTTTTAACTCTTCTAAGATCTATGCAGTTTAGTGTTTCAACAATCGTATCAATTCAAATAATTTTAAGAACTGAAATACTTCAAACTGTAAATCCTGTATTGTTCAGTCACACAAGGTGGGGTAGTATCTGCAGTGTAAGAGAGGAGGAGACGTGGGAGGGAAGTAGGGAAGGCTAAGAGATAGCTGTGTACTTTAAAGAAAGTAATGACTGACTTAATAGAAATGAATAAATCTGAATTAATTCATTTTGTTTAAAAATTCTCTACTTGATCCTTTTTCTTCCCACTAATGATATTAAGATGGCACTTAACTGTCATTTGAATAAAAAAAAAAAGTATGTGAAACAAATAAGAGTCCAAAAGTAAAAAGGAGGAAAACAGCCTCTGTTTATTTCATTGCGACCCCATATTGACCTGAGGGAGGGGAAGAAGGAGAGAGAGGGGAGAGAGAGGGAGGTGGGAGGCGGGGAGGGAGGCAGCAGAGGGGAGGTGGAAGAAACAGAAAACAGCCAAAAGGAATCTGCCCAGGTCTCCTTGAATGAAGACAATCCAAAACCCCAAGAAAAAAATGTATGGAAAAGAAAAAAGAAAAAAGCAGCACTATCAAAACATACATGGATGCACTGAATTTACTCAGTGTAGAATCCGATCATTAATAAATTCCTCTTTTTGAAAAAAGATGCATCTTTAAAATTACTTTGCAACTATTAAGTGTACACTAATTTCCTTTTACTATTTCTAACAGACTACAGGAATGGTCCTTTTAGAACAAAGCTAAATATAATTTGAGGGTAAATGGCATAAAATTACTGTTTCTCATATTTCTCCAAGGTATACATCTAATTTATCCACAGGCTTACTTCTGAGCAGGACTCTTGGTGATTAGTTAACTCAATATAACAGTATTGAACTACAAAATAACTTATTCAGAGGAAAATGATTATAGGGAATCTCTGAATTCTGTTATTTGAACTCTTATTCTAGGCTCATTTTTCAATTTCTATCAAATACTATACAAATTTCCATTCTCTTTAGAGACAGAGAATGTATCTCAGTAATGTAATTTTAATTTCCACACACCTGAACAAGTCCTAAACCAGAATACCAAAGGGAAAGTTCCTATTACTGAATTATATGCAATCATATAGTGACTTCATATTATCATGCTTTCTTAGCTTAAAATTTTTAATACATAAATAATTAAATCACAATGAGAGTTTGATAAATAATCACTGGGATAAAACATGCCTTTTAAGAAGAGAGGCAGAATCTACTATTCCTCTATAAATAGTGCACTATATAAAAGTTATCATAATTAAAATATATAAATTCATTACTTCTATACCCAACTAACCAAAATGCAACATGATTAATCCCATAGGTTAAGGTTCATAGTAGACTATAAAGAAATGGGTATTAATGGGGAGAGTTCCTTGCTCTTCTATTTAATAGTGTTAAAAATATTAATACAAAACAAAAACTTTTCTCATTCCCTCCTATCACAATGATCTTGATGATTTACTGTGAAAAGACTCTATGGTTTCCTTCTAACTGTTTAATTTCTGGCTTGTTTGGCTAAGTACGTGGTTTACTGAAACTGTCACTACCCTCTCGCTTATCAGCTAGCAGAGATATGAACTACTTTGTGTTGTCTGCTAACCCCAATCAGAAGATACCATACTGTTTTCCCCCAAATCCAGATCCTAGCTCCACATAGGTTAACTGACCTCATGTTGTGACCCTCATACCAGCATTCACAGGCTTCAGGTCATGACCTATGAATTAGCATCATGGAAGTAAGGGCCATACCCGGTTTCCCTTACAGAACTGAAGACGTGAAATAGTAGGAACTTCCTATGCCTTTCCTGATTTGGTTTTCAGTCTGCTAAGCAGCTGTCTCTTAAAACTAAAGGCAATCAAGTTACCAGCACTCTCACAGATTTCAAAAAAATTGAAGCAATATTTCTATGGCATACATTTATTCATATCCAAAGAGTCAGAAGGATAATAAAAACCAGCATTTGAAAAAGATTTTACTCATATCCTCAAACAAAAATTGATCTTGTTTCTAAAAAAATTATCCTTTAGAAATATTACCTACAAGCACCCAGCCACAGGGCCCGCTCCCATCACTGTTATAAAGCCATCTCTGTCACGTTAAATGGTGTTGGGTTGGTATCTCACCTCTGCTTCATCAAACTATTCCATGTGTAACAGCAAGTATATACTTTTCTTAACAAATTTCCGCCACAAAGTACTCTAAGAAACATAAAACCTAAGAAGGCTAAATAGAGACAATTACTTCATCAAAAGATTGTGCAGAGTAGATTCCGGATATGCTTTTTAATTTTTTTCTCAGTAGGGGGAGCTAGCACTCTCATCTTGAAAGTCTAAATACACAAGTCGGATATTTAAATTTTGATTCCAACTATCACATTCAGTATGTGTTAGAGTATCCTATTGAAAAATCTCCAGAAGGAAAATTTTCAGAATTTTGTCAAACTTGAAAATTTACCTTTGTCTTGAAATTCCTGAAGATAGCTGCAAAATAAAACAACATTATATTTTTTTAATGAGGGTGACAAATCAAAACAAGGTCCCACCAGTGGCAGTAATTCATATCTATTTTAAAATCTATATTATAAACATACATTAAAAAAACTACTTCCTATCCTGAAATGACAATACCAAAGGTTTATAGATTTATAATAAAAGTATTTTTAAAAACAAAAGTTACAGTAGTAAAATCAAAATTTATCTTTAATACCTATAACTTACATTCATTCATTTCAGTATCTGGAGGTTATTTTCCATATTTATATTAAAATTCTCAACCTAATTATGTCTTATCATTTAAACCAAATATATCCTCAACTAATCAAAATAAACAGTGAATTTTGCTAGAATGCTTAGAAACATACATATTCAAGAACCTTCAAAAATGATATTAAGAGAAGCATATTAATTTTTTTAATTATTATAGTGGAAATATATTTTGTCCTTTAAAAATACTTAATAGCAATTAAATTACAACATTAAAAATTTAATTCTATCATAATTCTTTATTAAAATGTTAATTACAAAGTTGCTTCTAAGTAAAAAGTTAGTAATAAAAAGCAAGTAAGTGACTTACGTAGACTTTACATCTTTTATCTTCTTAATAAGAGATTCTCTCTTTTCCTTTGCTTTCTTGGATAAATTTTCTCCTCTTAGTGTGTCTGCTACAAATGTTTCAACATCTAAACCATGAAATATAAGAAACAGGATACAAATCATAAGAAAGAATCATTTTTTGTGAAGACAAATAGGACAATGATTGTTTCCACCCATAAGTGTTAATATCTGTACAATTTGTTACAGTTATTTATCAATCCAAAGCATAACAGTTGAAGTATGTTTCAAATACTAAGTTGGACAAATCTGTTCACCACTTAGCTAATACAATTTGTATGCACTACTTATGCTTAGCACAGCAAATGCTATTTGGATGTTTGGCATCATTAAACCAAGAAGCAGCACACAAGTTTTAATAAACTGTGGTGCCCCATAAAACAAATTCTCTCATATAAAAGCAAGCACAGAGCTGTTATGTATGTGTTACTATCATTTTATAATATTTTCTAAGTTCCTGTATGAACAGGTCATTCACAAATTATATCAATATAAGCTAATGTCTCTGGCAAGGGCCTGTTTTTCCCAGTATAATCCATTTTCAGGTATACACAATGTTTCATGCTTTAAAAGATGAAAAATTCCTTTTCCTAGCCAAGATTCCTAAATCAAACCCTCCTACTTCCTACCTGCCCCACCCACTCCAGCCAGCCATCCACAAATAAAAAGATAATCAGTTGTGTGGTTTTGTGTGCTCTAGCTTCCTGCCTTGGTATTACCACCTGGAAATATTTTTTTAAATAAAGGAAGAAGTGGCAAAAATAGATTCATCCACTATTTAAAAATGTAGTAACCTAGAGATAAGATTTCTATGGCTTCATATAACATTTCCACATAGCTTCCTTTTTAAAAATTTAGCAAATTACATTCTTCTTCTTTCTAGTTCTCTCTAGTATAAAATTCCTACAAATCCTTACTGGTATTTTATAATAGCCCCATTCTTATTTTTCATGAAATATTGTACAACTTTAAATTTTATATTCAGAATTTCAAATCTCATTTTGAGTTCTCTAATAGAGGATATCATTTAAAAAATTAAGTAGGTATGACTATAAACCATCCATATTTTATATTGAAGAGATGTTTTATTTTTTTTACTTACCTACTTTATCTCCTCACATTGATATCAAAACATACAATAATGTTATATGAATGAATTAAAACCAGTACAATAGTCTTTCAACTGTACTTAGAATTAACAATTTCAAACCCAATATTTGAGATAGAATGTAATCAATTTGAAATTCTTGACTACAAAAGTATCTTGATCCAATGAGCAAAAGTGATTAAACTGTTATTCTACACATTCACAATAAGATTTTTACTAAATCAATATGACAAGAATTAAAATTTATGAAAGAATTAAATATGAAAGAATTAAAATTTAATCTTGATATATATTTTTAAATAGCTTTCTGTTTTCAAGTCCATTAACGACTAATGTTAAAAGTATCAAAACAAAATGAAAGCAAAGTGTCACGGCAACTCTTTCCTTGAGCTGTCCATGTTTTTGAAGAGGGGTACACAGAAACATAAATCCAATACCAGTGCAAAAATTAGACTTCTAAAATGAGTTCAAAATAATGAACATTTAAAAAAAGGTGCTCTCCTCTAAACTCCTTAAATTTTGAACCCAGAGGAGCCAACTACCTTTGGACATTCAGATATCTGCTGAAATGGAAAAGATCATTGGCTTCTCTGAGATGGTTACAATAAGTCTACAAAGAAGTGAAATAAAAGGGGTAGCATCTTTATGCTGATTCTTTCTTCCAACTGGACTCTGTACTTGTAAGAATCACTGGCACAATGATTGGTGAAGAGTCTGCTTAATGTTACTTTCACTCAGTGTTTGTCTTTAATTCCCTCATCCACGAGTATTTAATTGCCTATTTTACATTTTCATTATACAATCCGAGTTTAAATAAACGGGATCTATTTTCTATCTCCGGAAGCAATAACAGAACGAATTACAGCCCAAGAATTATTTCTTTGAAAGGTCATTTCATTTCTGTAAAAACAGAAACCATAAAAAGCTGCAGTGTTCTATACAGCATTTCCTAACACTCCCCAAAACATATTTTTAAAATGCTGATCCCTGCTACTATTTTATGAAGAAATACTTGTTGAGAGTGAGACTGCAGGGGAAAAATATCTATGTTAGTTTTTTGTTGTTGTTTTTTTTTTCAGGGAGAGGAGATTCAGAGATTAGACAAGGGAAAAGATCTTTTTTAGAGTAGACTTAATACATTTATCCCTAAACTTGTCCCAGAAAAAAAGGGTTCAAGGCAACTAAAAACATTCGATGAACATTTTTAAAAAAGTACTTCTCAAAGGAGAGGTAGAAAGTGTAGAAACTGCTTTGCAGTTTTCTTTCTTTTTTAACAAACAAGAACTTTAAGGTGGAAGCGATTCTTTGAATAATCTTAGTTTACTGGTGCCCACCGACTCGTTTAAGTTTTTAAGTTTTTGAAATCTGGGTTCTTTCTTAAAATCTCCACTCAGCCCATTTATTTTTGAGTCCAATGAAAGGAGCCTCTCCCAGGCTCAGGAGACCCGCGGACGTGCCGGCGGCCTGCGGCCGGGTCCCAAAGCAGAGACAGGGCGAGCGCTGAAAAGTTACTGGGGCTTTACTGGGAGATGCTCGGGCTCCGCAGTCCGTGACATTCGACCCTCGGAGTGTTTAAACCCCAGGGTTTCCGTCATCCGAGCTGTGAGCGGGGAGCACCAGGTTGGAGGCAGCGTCTTCGCCAGACAAATGGGACTGGATCCGCGGCTTTGTAGCTCAGAGCCAGGGTAATATTTCAAAAGCGAGCAATAAAAGTCCTGAGCGAATCAAGCGCTCCTCTGGCTGGTTGAAAAAGAGATTTGAAGCTTTTTATTGTGCTCTGAATAGCCCTGCAAACGGTAAACGAGCGAGCGCAGTAGCCCTCTTCCACCGTCCCTTAGGGGTCGTGTCCCTCGGTTAGTATGTAGATTTCACTGACTCCAGGCTGCCTGTAATTCGGGAACGGCCCTAATTCGATTACAAGGAAATGTCAGCCTGCCTCCTCTTTCGCCTCTTGGCCTGGTTAGAATTCCTCTTCCTCGGAAGGAGGGGTCTCGTCTCCACGCACACGCGCACACATCACAGGAGAGGAGAAAGTGGGGACCTAACGCGCCTCGGAGGAGAAAGCGCAGTTCGCGGGTGCCCCCCACGCACCAGGTCTAACTATCCCCAACGCCCCACCCGCAGCTGCATAATAGACCGCAGGTCAGCACCCCGGCATCCCCAGACTTAGTCCTACGCGTCAGCCTCTTCCCCCAAGTTATCAGCGAGGAAAAAGTTATCCCAGCGAATGGAAATGTGGTGAGGATTTTTGCTCCTGTTACACCTTCAGCACTGTCAGGAGCAAACCTCACCTCCCAGTACAACTGTAAAGATCTGGGGGAAAGGGTCTCTAAAAAGATCAGATTTACAACTGCGTTGTAGATAAATGTTAAGGTCTAGAAACAAAATTTTTAAATGGCATCATGTGTTGGCTCAGCAATCCTCAGTTTAAGTTAGAAACCTCTCAATAGCCACCTCAGACCTTCAGGGAACCGCTTACCACATACCAAACTACCAAATGGTACTCAATTGTCCTTTTTCCCCATTTTTCTGTACCTATAGACTCCCTAAACATGTGGATCCCTAGAAAAACCGCCACCCCGTCTTCCCCTAGAGTCCTGAGTGGCTAAGACAGGTATCTAACATGCACATGCGCACGCGCGCGCGCGCACACACACACGCTAACTGCTTTCTACCAACTTCCATACATAGCAAAAAGGTGAAACCACACAATGTTAGAACAATTTTTAAATTCTTGCAAACAATAAAGTAAAAACTGTTGGCTTCTTGAAACTTAGTACATAGCACAGGTTCCCACTCTTGAAGAAAAGCGGATGTTTGACCACTTGCCCTCACCATCCTCCACAAGCAAACAGCCCGGAATAGGACTTCCAGGCTGGAGGTTGTAAACAAGTCAGGAAGGTAACACCTGGTGTCTTCAGCCTGCTCTCCAACCACGCAATACCTCCCTGAGTGGCATGCATGTGCACATGCACACACACACACACACTGCTCTCCAACCATGCAATACCTCCCTGAGTGGCATGCATGTGCACGTACACACACACACACACACACACACACACACACAGCCTCTGTGATGGCCTGAATTGTATAGGAGAAGGAAGCAAGAGCTGAACTGAATCCACTACCATTTGCTCAGCCCCAGATCAATAAAATAAGTGTAAAACCAATCACACCACTCCCCCAATAGCTTTACTACTTAATTCCACATTTCTCTCCTTTATGATTTGGGCCAGGTTTCAGTTTGTATTCACTGAGGTGCTACCACCAAATCTAATGTAGTAAGGATCCCAGCCAAATTTAAGCTGAAATCAGAACAAAAAGTCATGCTTTTCATCTCTGATAAAAGGGGTATGGTCTGACCCAACACCTGCTGGTGAAAACATAAAAATCAATTAAACTGGGCACATGTTGATCAATGGAGCCAAATGCTCAAAGCTGGAAAATGGCTAATTGAAAAGCTATTGATTGCTCTAATCAATGTCTTTCTCTTGATTACCTAGCACTTTTACAGGTTATAGTTGCACTGTGGACTTTTTGAACATGGAAAAAGAGACGTGAACAAGTACAAGGAGCTCTTATAGAAAACATACCTGAGTCTTACAATCCAATTATCTAACGAAATTTTCAAAATTGGTTTTGGAGGCTTAAATGATTTATTTTGGTAGAAAATTGGGCTGTTGAAGGATAGGGATGAACATCTTTCACCTCTAAAAGATGACTCTTGATAAATAGCACCTTATAATAATCAAAATGTTTTTACCAAGCATTTTCAAAGAAGCCACAGTGAATACACATTAGTCTGAGATTTACACTACATTCACTGTTAGGCAGCATCTATTATAATGTGTTCAGCATGTGATTGAAAAAGAAATGTAAACTCAATGGAATGAAAAAAATAGACTTGGCTTTAATTGAAAAAGACAAACTAAGTGAATAATGAGTATATAAAAACTAGCCTATGCCACTTTTATCACCCATATATGACACTTAATCTTAAATTTATGAGAGACAAATGAACTGTGTTTCAAATCACCAGAGGATTTTCCAACTCTGTTGTTTCTGTCTTCTTTCTAGTAATACTTTAATGCTGGTAACATAGAGATAAACCCATTTGGAAATTTTCTACATACATTTTTTTAGTATATTTAGATTCTTTTTTAAAAAAAGAAAATCAATGATAATTTGGATTGAATAACTATAAAAACTGCATATACTATCAAGAGTCTTAGTTTAGTAATCTGAATGAAAATACTTCCAATGGAAAGCCATGTGGAAAAGAAGCCAGCCAAAAACTCCCTCCCAAGAAAAAGTAGGCTATCATATGCTTCAGATAGGTAAATAATTTTCCTAACATCACATCTTAATTCTGTTATTTGACTCAAACAAGAAACTGTAAATTTCTGGTCCCTTGATTTACAAACACATTTTCTTATTTCTAGAAAAGAAACTCTTAAAGGTGTCATAGACTGATTTCATTTTGAGATAAATGTTCTCATATCAACATTATGCTCATTAGTTCTTACTGCCAAAATGGGTCAAGCTTGTTCTTGCTCTGCAGGAAAATCCAGGTGCTAAAGAAGTAGGTGACTATTGGTGACTCAGTAGGTGGCACTCTTCCCTTTACATACTCAGGCAATGCACCAGAAGAAAGTTATGGGACACTAGATATACTATAAATAATATTCATAGAAAAAATAAAGCCAAAATGTTGACCAAATTATAAATGGAACTTTGGAAAAGTGGAAATCAAACTATACTATTCTCAGCACTGAAAAAAATTCTACCTCCATTTCAACTGAATTGCATTCTTTACTTAGTGCCCCTAAAGAGATTGTCGATTATAATGTGCAAAGGTTTAGAAAAAAATGTTCTGGAAATCCTCAACATGAAAAAATGTAATATTTCAATACAGGACTGCCAGATGAACAAAATCTCAAGGTCACTTGACAGAAACCATATAGCCACTTTGTTTATTGTTTGGTTTGGTTTAGTTTTGATTTTTCAAAATCCTGTTATCCACTATTTCTTTTAACACTGGTTTCATTTTCTAATTTAATAAAAAGAAATCAACATACTCTTACAGCTTTCCTTTTTAAACGTGTTGTCCTAAAAACAAATGAATGAGAATATCTGCTTGCAAACCACTAACACTCCAATAGTCAAAAGATAATTAAACAAATGAAGGAGGCTGGTGGGGCAGTGGTTGGTTCCTCTCACTTTGACTGCATGGAGGAAAAACTCACATAAATCAAGACTATTCTTGCTGCTTAGTCCTAGTCAAAATATTTGGATGTCGAAGAAGATTAAATGGACAAGACTTGGGATTATCCTTTGATTCTAATAATCCAGGCTAAACCTGTTCTTCCATTATTGTAAAAAAAAATTAAAGGTCGCCTGCAGTACCATATGCCAGTTCAAAACTTCCCTTTAACAACAAAAATCTGTAACCCTTTTTCTATTCATAAACAAAAGAATAATTCAACACTTATAAAAAGTGTAAGCTTTCAAGATTTAACACACTGATTCCACAGAAATATAAATAACAGTCAAACTATATAGCCACTTTTTCAAGCGTATCATTAAATGCGAATTAAGAATGATAGCCTCTATGGTTTTTGCATTTCTATAGAATGTTTTTTTTTTTAAGGGGGAAGGAATGAGAAGAAGAGGGAAATATCAAAAGAGAAACCCAAAACTATTATAATCAGAAAGAAAAATAATGAGAAAGAAAATATTAAATTGATAAGAGTATATCTGTATACCTGTAACAAGCAGTTGAAATGTCAAAACATTTCACACGCATGACATATAATGATTTGAATCACAGGCACATGAACTACAAAGAAAAAATGCCCACACAACATATTTTGAAAGGCATTATCTTTTAACTTTATATCCTTTTTTTTTGAAGGCAAGGGATTTTAAACACCAGTTCCTTATTTTCTCTACCTCGGAATTCTAGCATAGTGTCATGCATTTTAAGAGCACTTAACTGTTAATTACGACCACCACTACCAATATCTCCGTTCTCAGTTTCAAAGAAAGAACTAAGTAAGCCAGCAATATCTCTAAAATTCAAACTGAAACCAACTCTTCCTCTATAGTTCAGTAATTTTAAATCTAACCTTGTACTATTACCCAATACCCAATTAGAATTATGCAAATCATCATGCACAATCCAAACAGTTTTGTATGAAAATTTTGAAAAAACTGCTGAGAATGTTTTATTCTTGAAACCTTCCCTACCTCAAAAAAGATTTTAATTACGGTCAAACATAAAATTTTAACAACCATCTTTGAATACGTTAAAAAGAAAAATGAAAACCAGTTTCACTTGTTTCATTTCTTTAAAAAATATTTTTTCTCATATCTATACCTCTTGAAAAATGCTCTGAAAATAAAATGTAAGCCAAATTTATAATCTCCAAAATTTTAATGTTCTAATATTTCATGTGTTTTAATATGTAATTTGCTTTAATAATATAAAATATTGGAAATGTCAATAAGATAACTTTTAAAGTGCTGATTTCATACATTATGCAAGTATATTATCTGACTAAAGAGAGAGAGAGATACAGAAGTTAGCACCAGCAAATAATTTAAATATTATGTAATTCTGAGCTGTCAGTTAAATTACTCAAATAAAGGCCACTTGAAACATCTGTAGTCTGTGGAGATCAGAGGATAAAGGGTCTCATAACCTTTTTATCATACTATTTGCAAATGCATAACTGGATCCAAATAGCAAACTGGCTATCGTGGGAGCTGTCAAGCTTTAAAAGCATGCACCCAGAGGTCTGTCTGTTATTTCCTAAATTCAAAATTTCTTACCTAAAAAAAGAGAAAAAAAATCAGACCTAGACTTAGAATATCCTGAAAAGGGTGACATCTATTTTTAGAGTAATGATAAACTCTACTCTGATCTGGTTATTAAAATAATACTCTAAACAGGCAATTCCATCAACAAAAATGTTAACTGTAGTAAAACAAAATAGTACTCATGTGACACTCTCATATAATGGAATAAAAGTTGCCTTAAATCAGTCTTTACAGTTCTTTCGACATTTCCCCTAGTGGGAACAGGCACTTCTTAAAGTAAAACACTATCCCACCACAAATGCATTAATCACACTGTAATCATGTTCACACAAACATAAGTCTACATCCATACACTACTGGTTTTATTTTCTCTATCATATTCATGATGCCAACCACCAAAACAGTGTAACGGTATTAGATTTGGTCTCACACTATAACAGTAACATATTATTTAAAATGTCACATTCGAAATTACTTTTAAACATTCTAATAAGCAAACTTAACATAGACATCTAAGACAAACTCTTTTAATCATGTATTAGTGACCAATATTGAAAGAGAAATGCCTAAGAGATAACTAAAGTAAAACTATCAAAACTGAGTTTCCAGAATTCTGATGTACACATGACAAAATGAATAACGGAAAGAATTCCAGAGCATCAGGGTAAGATTTGTGCTACCCTAATATATCTTCTACCTTGTACAGAAACATAAAATTTCCATTGGCTCTTAGCGAAATACACATCTCCATATCTAGTAAATAGCCTTGAAAAACTGCATCTTTAACTCCTAAAGCAAGTTCCTATAAATGGTCATTTAAAACTGAAAAGGGGAAGATGAGGGTGCAAAGATGAAGTAGTTTCATCGTGTGGCACAGGAAGTTGGACCTTAACACATACTTCCTTTTTATTATGTTACTCAGGCACTGAAGAGTAGTGGCCATTTGAGAATCAGGCCCTCTTTGAAAGTCTTAACTATGAGTGAACTGAATGTTCAAGAAAAATGGGAGTTTCAGAAATGACAAACCCTTCCAACCCCTAACTCCTAACCCTTAACCCTGGAGCTCAAACATCTCTTTGCACCTTTACAACCTTCTCCACTGGCCAGGACACCAAAGAACTACTTCTTTGGCTACTGATCCCATCACAGTTCTCACACTTGCATTCATTATCATTTTCTCTGCCCCCTCTCTCTCCCCTCTCTCTCCCC